GTAAAACTTGTGAAAGTGTTATTCATGCCTTGATATGATATGATATGATGTATTAGGGCCAAGTTTGCTCATGTCACTGCAGCTCAACAACAGCATTTTCAGCATGCTGAATATTAAACATGCTGTCTCCAGTGCGTACCACCCCCAGACCAACGGGCAGGTAAGCATTCGGATAGCTAACCTTGGGTCACTCATGTGAAATCCGTCATGCTTATTTATCTATTCTACAATAAAACTCAAAGGATGAGAGGACCAACCAGAACATCAAGCGTGCTCTCAGAAAGTACGTCAACCAGAACCATGATGACTGGGACGTTCACCTTGCTGCTGTGGTGTATGGCATCAACACCGCAAAGCAGGTATTCCTGTTTTGACATTTTGTATTCCTTTTAAGATACTTTACAGTGTTGCATTTTTTTAAGAGTGTTTTTTTTAAACTTATAATTTAAAAAAAGCAATTGACAAGTGCAAGAGAAAGTGAAATAATGGAGAGATTTTGTTTGATCAGCACTCCACCCGCCACAGTCCCTATTTCATGCTCTTCCACCGACATCCACGTCTTCCCGCTGTGATGAACGCCTGTCCCATGGACGATGACTTTGAGGTTGCAAACCCTGAAGAGGACATCGACACAAGAGTTGAGGAGATGACAGTTCTGAATGAAACGGTCTGTACGTTTGAAGGGGGCTAGCTGACAGGGAAAGGAGATTTGTTTATGAAAAACGGGAAAATGTGGTTAATAACATTCCCATTTTTATTGTGTATTCAACACTTTCTCACTATTATTTTTGTGTCATTCTTTTGTAGGTTCTTCGCAACATTGAGAGGGCACAGGACACCCAGAAGAAGACCTTTGGAACACGGAAAAGGAAGCAGGTAAGACAGTGTGTTTTTGAAGCCGGTGATGATGTTCTTTTGTCAGGTGATCCAAAAAGACGACGCATTGGAGATGCATTATCGAGCCAACACCAAGGACCGTACACTGTGGCCAGCATCACACCAAAGGGGGTGGCCACTATTGTGAAGGGAGCAACTTGCCAGAAGGTAAACGTGTCCAGGCTGAGGAACTACCACAGATCAAAAAGTAAGAGTATGACATGCAATAAGTGGTCGCAATTACATTTTGATTTAATGTTAAAAAAGGATTAAAGTTTGTATGTCATGCCACATATTTGCATATTATCAGATCCACCAACTAAGAGGAAGTTTCTCCTGGACCACTCATATGGGACTCCTGAATGCCAGATTGATCATCAGTATGCCAGTCCAGGAGCAAAGTGGCAGAAAGACTTGGACCCTCTTCAGTCCAGTCTGGTAAGTCCACTCACGTTAAACCTTAATAAGTCAAAGTCATTGATGGTTTTATAATTGCTGAAGCATGAGAGTAATTCCAGCCTTATTTAGTATTTTCCCTTTCATTCTTTTTATTTATTATTTTCTATAATACTTTGAAGCAAATTCACATGAAATGCTCTTTTCATTTAGCTCGAATATGTTTTGGACCAAAACCGACCTCCAGGAGAACTCCTAGTGAAGGAAGACAACATCTGCCTGACTCGGGAAGACTTTTGGAGCCTGGGTTTGGAACACTGCTTGGAATCTAATGTAAGCATATCTTGTTACTTTAGCTAATGTAACACAAAGAAAATATCATGAAATGCAAGATTTTATGAATAGTGACTGAAACCGTATTCTGTTGCTTTTTGCTGTTTCTTTCAGATTGGGAATGCTTGTCTGAAGATTGTGGGCGAAGCTGCACAAAGACATGTAATCTGTTGTACTGGTATATTTTTTCTTCGGTTAAAGCCATCAATGGTTGTTCTGTATTGATTTTGGGTTTTTGTGTGTGTTTCCTTTAGGGAAAAGATGTTCATATTGCTGACCTCTACGTCGTGGCCACCTGGAAGGATCCACAAGTCAACCTGCTTCGTTGCTTGCCGGTATGTTTTTTGTTGATTTTTTTCTCCTGTGTGTTCATTTTTACTAATTTGTACCAATACCTGTAGGAAAACTTTAGGTCCAAGGACATCCTGCTTTTTCCAGCTTGGAGCAGGCAGGCATGTGAAGCTGACCATTATCTGCTCTGTGTGAGTGCCCTTTATCTTTCTCACTGTGTGTTCTTTCATCTGACAGAAAATAACGGAGGTTGAGATGTCATGTTTTCATGGATGATGCTAACATGTCCATTTCAGGCTATACTGGTAGCTGAGAGACAGATACTCTTTCTGGAGTCACTTCGCCCTGATGGTTTTGCAGATGATCTCTACCGAGCCATATTTAGGTTGACACTAAAGAAATGACAAGTTTTTCTGGCCTTGTTCAATGGCCAAGTGCGTTCTTTAGCAAGATCATCTACAAGCAGCCTCGTTCTTAGGCTTAAAAGTTCAGGAGGGAGCCTCGTTCTTAGGCTACTTCATGATAGGGATGCACCAATACTGGTATCCAGTCCCATACGGTTCAAATGAAATCGTATACATATCCATATCTATCCAATACCACGAACAGATACTTGAAATGTGGAAAATTGGTAAAGGTTTCACAGAAAATGTTTATTTTTCACACAAATTTAGAATTTTGGGGTCATTTCTCTGAATATTCATTTTAAAAAAATAATTATTCACCGTTATTATTTGTAACAAACACACACACAAAACAATAAAACCTGCCTTCCAATTCAATACATTTTCTGTGTGGTAGAAGTATCAGCATTGGTATTTGGTATCAGCAAAAACTCAGATCCAAGGATCTGACAGTTTGAAAAACGTCTTGTTGCATCCCTACTTCCTGATTTTTTTTGTTAATGGCAAACATTTGATTTGTGTGTTATGTGTATTCTCTACAATGCCAGGAGAGTAGCAGCCTTTATTGATTCTGGATCCTGGATGGAGAAAACAGGAAGAGACCTTGAGGTATGTTTTCAATGCAAAAGTTTGAAAGCTCATCAGGTACAAAATAATTCAATAAAAAAAACCTAGCAGGTGCATCTCAGCTCTCTTCATTTAAGGACACATTTTTCTTTTTACAGTTCTTTCCTCAGCAGTACAATGGAAATTGCTGCGGCATCTTTATGCTGATGGTGAGATTTTTTCTTTTCCTGTCATTACTTCAATATAACATTTAAACATGTTAAAGGTTACTTTTACTTTACAGTATGCTCTCTGCATCAGCACCTCATCTCCACTATCTTTCACTGAGGTAAGCTTTTTCATAAAGTACCACCAAAATACCTGTGCCAGTCTCCAACTTTGATAAACACTATATTATGTTTTTCTTTAGGAGGACATGCCAGCAATTCGCCAGTGGTGGTGTATTCAGCTGATGGAGAGATTCTGCATTGAGGGGTATGGCTAGTATTATAGACAAACTAGCACCATCATAATCACAGTTTTCAAAGTTAGTATTAATTGCAGTTTTGGCTCCGGCAACACATCAGGTCAAGCAAATGTTTGTGAAAGTGGCTTAATGTAGTCAATTATAAACCGTGTGACTGAACACACAGAAGAGAGCAGCAGTACACAACTAGAGTCCATTCTGACTGGCATTGCTTTTTTTTTTAGGCTTGGACAGAGATTCGCCTTCTGGACAGAAGAAGCATCCCTTCTCCTCCAGGGAACTCTCCAGCCTGTCTTCAGGGTACCAAAGGCGACCTCCTCCAAGCCTTTACCAAGTCTAATCAGACAGGTGAGAGAGGACAACAATGAGATAACCATTTGTAGAATATAACCACAGAACTGTTGAGACTATTCATCAAAATGCAGGTTTACATACATGGTGGTAATATTCATTTCCATGTAATGTGATAATCATGTTTTCCATTAAAGGCTGATGCTGACAGGTGCCCTATACTGGAGGTAATCTCTTTCTTTTCCCTTTTAATTAAAATGTTGATGTAACTGAATTAGTAATTAGAATCACAGGTAGCACCATCAGGGCAGAAGGAGGCATTATTCAGTAGTGGAATGAAGTAATAGTTATGAAAACACCACTAAATGTAATGTATTTTCAGTCCTCATATTTCTGAAACTTGGTGGACAAATTTGGTATTTTCTGACCCATATTTTACAGTTACCAGCATGTGTCCTCATCGACATATTGGAAGAGGTTGTTCTACACGAAGGGGATACAGCCATCTGCAAACTGGCTCTGGTGAGCTCCATGTTCAGAGACCTTGTGTCTACTGAATATTTCAGAAGACGGGCACACTTCAAGTGGCTTCACAGTAAGGGCTTCAGTAAATTATGAAATTATATTTCCTTTTTTTTTTTGCTGTTGTCACATGTTTTTCACTGGCAGAATGTAAATGTTTGGTGTTTTTGTTTTTTGCTTGTGCTGTACACAGGCGTCTGCACATGGAGCAGCTTCTCGGAAAAGTACAGAGAACAGTACTTTAACATGTACACAATTGAGATCTGCCTTCAATGTGGAGATCAGTACAAACACTGCCCCCGAGGTATACAACACTGTATAATCTTATATTGCGGTCATTACAAAAAGTGAAAATCTCACTGGTGCGTGACATGCTGAAAACCATACCTTGGAGCCAATTTTTCTCTCTGTTTGATTTCTGTATTACAGGATATGTTGGAACAGGTAAAAGAGGTCAACTACGGGCATTTTATTCGGAGGAGATGCGCCCAGGCTACTGCAGCCACATTTGCATGCAACTGTACAGCTAATATGTTTGCACTGTTCACCTAAAACACACACACACACACACACACACACACACACACACACACACACACAGACTGCTTTTAGTGACAGGGTTCCCCATTTGTGGTTCCCCCACATGTTGGTTCGTGTTCTGATACCTGTTTTCATTTGTGACAGTTTTTGCTAACTCTTGTGTTATTGGTTATCACCGATTTCTTTTTATTGTTTATTTAATTTCTTTTGCCCTGTGTGGCCTGGCCTCGGTGGAATTCTTTGTTACTGCGTACGAGCCAAGAACTCCTAATGACCTGTGTTTTGTTTAATGTTGTTTAATTTAGTTCCTTAAATTACATTTATGAAATAAATCGGGGTTGTAACATATTTTCTCTACCTGTATCTGTTGTTCATGTTCTTGAAATCTGTTGTTTGTTTTTTTCAGTATTGTTACAGTAAACCTGTGAAAATTATACACTGGTCCTGTGTAATATTATATGGATATATACAAATGAGTGTAGTCAAATCTCAATTTAACAAATGGTTAACCTAAGAATACCCTTTTAAAAATATTGTCAAAAATTAATTTTGCAACATTGTTAATTTTGTGGTTACAAAGAAGAAAGTTAATTCAAGACAAAGTGGCAAACCAAAAAATCTAATACAAAAACAGAAAGTAAAACGATTTTAGGTAATCAGCCACATTGCCTTTAGTGCAAGAATATATTATATTTTATTATTAGAAAAACATTCCTAGAATATGTAGCAAAAATTGAAAACATCTGCTGAATTATGATGGTGCATTTTCAGCTTTCATATCAAAATATAGCCTAGTATTTGTATATAAATGAAAAATTGCAATCTGTCACATGAAAATTCATGAGCCAAATGAAGTGTTTACTGACAATTGACAGTGAGGAGTGGACATCATAACTATTCCAATCAATAGTCTCCACAGTGACAAGCATAAACACACTCGATTATCACTAAATCAACTTTAACACACGTTTGTAATGACGCTAATTCAGTTTACAATAGGG